TAAATTGATTAAATTTTTTGCATCAAAAAATGAGACCGTTTCGTGTATCATTTCTAAAAATGATACACAAAACGATCTCTTTTTGATATAACTTATGTGCATCAAAACGTTGCAAAGATTTGATGCAATTTTTGGTCTCAATTTGATACTTTTAGGAAAACTGTGTGGTTGAATTTTTCTTTTTTCAAAAAATCAAATTTGAAAATTTTCAATAACTTAATTTACTATATATGTGAAAGCAATAAACTTATTTAAAAAAATGAAATATAGTAAAATAAATAAAAAATAATTAAAGAGCATTTTTCTAAAGGGCAAGTATATATATTGAGAACGAGTTATTTCACCTGTAGGATATTAGAGATAGTGATTGGTAGCAGATTGTCCCAGGGGATGAGCGCAGAAAGTGTGAGAGGAAAAGGAAATGGTCAAAAAGAGTTGTAAAGGACGTGTTTCAAGAGAAATATGAGTATTTGAGAATTTATGAATGTGTGTATGTGTGTAAACTTTATAAGTATTTGTGTGTACACTCGACCCATTTCTTCTGGCCATTCGAGGAAAAAGCAATCGTTTTGACAAAAGACAACCGATTTGACCCTCAAGTGTTCGAGGATGTTTCACAGACGACAATGTTGGATTCCAGATATGGATACATTCGCCAAAATCCAAAAAATTCTCTATATATTTTATTCTGCAAATAATTTAAGATGCAATTTTTAGTTTTCATTTTAATTTTCAAGTTATAAATAAAAAATGTTCCTAAAATTCAGTTTTAGATTTATAATTTCTCTTTAAAACTTCAATTTTAATTTTTTTTCGACTTTTTTTTCTTAATTATATTTTTTACTGTTTAGGTACTCAAAAATTTATTTGAATTAAATAAAAATATTTTTTTCTCAAAGTTAATGTCAAAAAAAAATTCGAGAGTCCGATAATTCAGCTAAAATTTTGTTGAGAACTCAAAAATAGTATAAGGATTAGTTGTCATATGCCAGATTAATGTCTTGTCAAAATATTTATTTTAAAAAAAAAATTGAATATTTTAGAAAAATAAAATTTAAAAATAAAATCACAAAAATGACATGACTTTAAATAAATATTTATTTGGAGCAAATAAATAAAATAATAAAAGAACATAATATTTTATTTCTCATTATTGTGCTCCATATATATATATACATTTTTTATTTTGAATTCCCTCCAAAGAGGTCAAAAAGGAATTATTTCCAATTCGTGAGAATGTTTTTCTATATACATTATTTTGCATAAATATGTGAATTTTATTTCAATGAAGATTTAAAAAAAATAAAAAAGAAAAAGAAATAAAACTGAGAATGAAATTTTAAATCGGTTTAAAATGCATATTGAAATTATTTGTAGAAATTATAATATGAGGGGGAAAAAATGGAGGTTTATTAAAAAAAAAAAAAAAAATGAAAAAAAAGAAAAAAAAATGGTACGTTCGATGGCAAGAGTCGACTTTGCAGTTGGATAATTTTTAATTGCATCTGTGCTGAGAAAACCTTGTCAAAGGAAATTGCATTTTCATTTCTCTGCAAGAAATAATCAAGATTCTTCTCCCACGATATTTAAAAGAAAATGCATCACTTTACGGTATTAATGAGGGAAATAGAAAAGTGAAAATTAAAGAGATTTAATTTAAAAAAACCTCTCTCTCTCTCTCTCTGTTATATATACATATACGATATATATCTGTTTCTCCAATCAATATTTCAACACATTTCAATATTATTTTTATTCGTCCGATTTTAAAAGAAGTAATTTTGAGAAAATGAAATAAATGCATATATACGAGAGAAACTAAATTCAATTTAAATTAATGCATTCTGTGCTTTTAGCACCTGTTTTAATTCAAGGTAATTAAACCAACGAAATTGAAAGTGAAAAAAAAAAATAAATCCCGAATAAAATTACTTTATATTCTCTTTTTTAATTGCTTTCATTATTATTATTATTATTGAAAATTATTTGAAAAATACAATTTAATTCTTTCAATTGTACACAAAAAATTTGACCTTTTAATTCTAAAAATTCAAATTTAAAAAATATTTTGAAATATTTCGCGAATAGAAAAAGAATAATAATAATTTGGGTATAGAAATTTCAATTTATACCTTTTTTTTCACGAAATTGAAAAGTACGAAATTTTCGCTGAATAGATCATTTTACTATATATATATAGGAAAATCAACGAGGAGCTTTTATCTGCATATTCTGAAATATCTTGAGTTTAAAAAAAAGGACAGGAAAAGAAATGAAAAAGGAAAAAAAAGAAGAGTCGGAAAAGTGAAAAAGGTACTCAACGGGATATAACATCAGAGTAAAATATATACGTAATAAAAGTCAATTTTCTATGATCAGGTTTATAATTAATGGCAAATAAAAATGAAACATTTCATTAATAGATCCACTTCGTTGGCAATTTTCTTTAACGAGCAATAAAAAAAAAAAAAACGGAAAAATACCATTTAATTAAGTCTCGAGAGTTTTATTTATATTTATATTCTTCTTTGGTAACAAATTATTTTCAATGTTTAAGAAAATTAATGAGAGAGAAAAATAAGAAAAAATTTTCAAATAAATAATTCAAAAGAATTTTGGTCCTTCTGTCGACAGTATGAAGTATGAGTGTGTATTGTAAAGAGTGGGGACTATTGCACAGTCCTTTAAAACTAATGCATAAGCAGGTGTGGTCAGATTAATTAGTCGCTACTCAAAGTGATAGCACGGTCAGTAAATTGTCTTCCACAAAGACTCAGTGAAGCTTTGGAAGGATTGATTATCTCCAAGTTTTTGTACTTTGCTTGTTAAGAGCATTTGAACCTTCGTGACGTCACAAATCATGGCGCATGACACGCAAACTTCTCAGGTATGTGAAAAGCACAATTTTGAATATTTTTTAAAAAAACCTTTTGGAAAATGTTCAGAATAACATAGACTCTGTCTGTTATGTGCGGAAAATTCAAAATTTTGCGTTTAAAACGTTTTTTAAACAATGTTAAGGTCACAAATCATGGCGCATGACACGCAAACTTCTCAGGTATGTGAAAAACACAATTTTGAATATTTTTTAAAAAAACCTTTTGGAAAATATTCAGAATAACACAGACTCTGTCTGTTATGTGCGAAAAATTCAAAATTTTGCGTTTAAAACGTTTTTTAAACAATGCCTACATATAAGCAATTCGTGTATTTTTCCTTACTTGTGACAACCAACTTAAACATTGTTTAAAAAACGTTTTATACGCAAAATTTTGAATTTTTCGCACATAACAGACATAGTCTATGTTTCTCTGAACATTTTCCAAAAGGTTTTTTTAAAAAATATTCAAAATTGTGCTTTTCACATACCTGAGAAGTTTGCGTGTCATGCGCCATGATTTGTGACGTCACGAAGGTTCAAATGCTCTTAAATAAATAAAGTAGAGTTTGTTCTCAGTTGAGTAACCAACTCACAAAAATAATATTATTAGTTGTTTCTTACGGCGACAACACTTTGATTAGAAAAAAAATTTAATAATTAAATTTTTTAATAATAAAATAAAAATAAATTTAAAAAAATTTAATAACAATAAAATTTAATTAATTTTATTAAAAAACAATAAAATAATAGTTTTAATTAATTAAAAAATCTTTGTTTTCGAATTAAATTAATAATAAAAAAGTAAATGAAATTTATTACGAATGTAAAAATCGACCGTTTTTATTTTGATGTAAAATCGCTTCGAATCCTGCAATTATAATTATTGCAATTATTTATTTTAAAAAAGTGATGTGGGGGTCATCCATAAAGCATGTGATACATTTTTTCAGAATTTTACCCCCCCCCCCTCCCCCTTGTGATGCTTTTTCCAATACCGATTAATATGGAGTGTGATATTTTGCTGACCCCCCCCCCTACCCCTTAAAATATCACATGCTTTATGGATGACCCCTGTGGAAGTTATCCTGAAATTTCTATTTGTTTCTATAATAAAATAGAAACCAGACTTAAAAACTGCAAAAAGAAACATCATTTTATTCTTAAAAAAAAAATATAATTTATAAAAAATATCCTATGTTGGTATTACTGCGAGTTTGAATAAATTACAGCGGCAACGGAAACGTTAAATTATAGACGATAGATTGCCCATATTGGCCATATTAATAGAAGCATTTAATTTTACAAAGTTCTTGTGTATTTTTACATGTCAAAATTCGCAAAATTATTATTAAATATTAAATAATTCTTTCACCTTGCATATAATTAAAATAAAATTATTCATCAAAGTCTATAATTTTTATATTTGTATAATACACGTCCATTTTTATAAAAAAAAGTTTTATTTTAATATATGGAAAATATCACTTTAATTTAAAAATATTATTTGTTTAAATGAAAATTTGGTTTTGATTTAAATTTAAGGGTTAGTTTAGAATTGGCGCATGTAAATTTCCACTGTATCGAAAAAAAGCTACCATTCCCTGCAAAGTGTCACAATTTAAATGTTCGACTATTTTATATTGTCAATACGATTTTGGCATGATTCTTAACCTAAAAAATTATTTTTCGTGTATCATTTGGAGATAATTTTATCAAGAATATACTAACTTTGAATCAAACAAAATTTATGTTTAAATGAAATATATATTTTATCAACAAAAATGTATTATTGAATTAAATTTAAATATGTTTGACTACAGCAAAGATATAAGTTTAAATTAAACATAATATGATTTAACTTAAAATATCGTTTTCTCAGTGCTGTAATTGTATTATCCCGCAGTAATACCCACACTTACTCTATCCAGATGCAAATTTATAGAAGAAAAGACAATTTTTTATAGTATATAATGAAAAGACAGAAACAATGAAAAAGTATATATGTTAGAAGCAGAAAATTAGAAATAATAGAGAGGTAGAAGAAAAGAAATGAAAAAAAAGAGAAAAAAGATGAAGTAAGATATATTTGGCAGTACAGTCCTGGCAGTACACCACTTACAGGAATGGAGGCGGGCTTGTTGACCACGACGACGTCCTCGTCCATGTGTATCACCGTGATCGGCTCCGAGGTGACAGGCACCTCGTGTCTGCAACACACCAATCGCAACCAGCTTAACATGGCTTTGTTCTATAAGGCTTACGTTCATTGTACCTTAGATACACTCACTCACACTCAGACATATCACTACATGTATCAATAATCACATTTTTCACTCTTTTCTTTCTTTTTTTTTTAAAAATATTTCTACTATTTCTTCAAATTCTCTACAAGTATTTGAGGCATTCTATCTCAACCCGTTTCACCTTCAAAAGACGATCGCCAGCAGAGCGTTTTTTAAGTTAATATTTTTATATCAAAAGTAAATAATTTATATAATGTTACACACTATTTCGAAAGAGAATTTAACGACCTTTCGATTGGTCTTAACATTTTTTTTAATTTCTTACAATTTCAAACAGAAATTGCGTTTTGAAATATTCAACTCTTGATATCTCAAAACACCCCCCCTTCAATTTTATTTTAATATATATGAAAATAAAGCTTAGTTTTTCTAGTTTCAAATTCCGTTTGGTTTATCATGGACATTTGTGAGAATTTTTGGATAACAGTGATTCAAAATATGTGTTTTTGAAAACTTTGACACGAAGTATGAAGTTGAATCCTAACCCGCATTCAACCTACGTCACACACGAATTTCATTGTTTTGAAAAAAAATCGCAACCTATAATAATAAAAATTTTCTGTAAGGAGATTAATAATATCGTATTTATTTTAATAAAATGCTTTTAAGTGATTTTTAAGTTTAAATTTAAAATTACTCACCAAACTAATTTTTTAATATTAAATGCAATTATTATTGCAGGAAAATTTTAAATAAATACTTTTATTTTATGAAAAAAAAGACATTTTTTTGTAGGTTAAACGAAACATTTTTTATTTCAGCAAAAATTAAACACAGAAGAATTATAGTCCTTGAAAAAATACTAATTTTTAAATAACAAATTTTTTTATTTATTTAGTTTCGAAAAATTTACTTTCCTCGGACGAAGAATATTTTTTTAAAAGCATTTGTGTTTCAGAAACAGGAATGAAGGTGTGATATTTTTGTGTTCCTGAAATTGTTTTAGATTCATTAAATCTTTTTTTAAGAAATTTTTAAAAAAAAATTTTAGAGTAAATCATACTTTGACTCTTGCTTAAAAATCTCAGAGGTACAAAAAATTAGGAAAATTGTTCTCATATAGCAACAATTATTATCACGGTGCAAAAATTCGCAATATTGCGTACTAATATTGCTTTTTATTTATCTCTTATAAATAATAAAAATTATGCTAATGAAAGATAAAAGCTATTAGAAGATTAAATTTAAAATATTTAGAACACATTTATTCAAATTATTTATTTAAAGATAATTATTGTATAAATAAATAAATATTTCAAATAAATTATTGTACAGGTTGTGATTTTTTTCAAAACAATGAAATTCGTGTGTGACGTAGGTTGAATGGGTTAGGATTCAACTTCATACTTCGTGTCAAAGTTTTCAAAAACACATATTTTGAATCACTGTTATCCAAAAATCCTCACAAATGTCCATGATAAACCAAACGGAGTTTGAAACTAGAAAAACTAAGCTTTATTTTCATATATATATTAAAATAAAATTGAAGGGGGGGTGTTTTGAGATATCATGAGTTATATATTTCAAATCAAGATTTCTGTATGAAATTGTGAGAAAATTAAAAAAATGTTAAGACCAATCGAAAGATCATTAAATTCTCTTTCGAAATAGTGTATAACATTATAAGATTATTTTCTTTTTTATATAATAAAAATCTCTTGAAAAACGCTCTGCTAGCGATCGTCTTTTGAAGGTGGAACGAGTTGAAATAGAATGCCTCATTTATATAACACTCGATTTTGCATATATAATGAAATTTACTCAACGAAACGCTAATTTAACTGTGAAAAGGCCAAGGTGAAGGAGATCAGGTTTGAAAAAAAATACGAGAGGAACTTTTGATTTTTGTAAATTTAAATTTAAGAGTGTCGAACGGTCTCTAAAATTCTTTGGCATTTAATTATCGCCCTATAAAAACGGCACTGAACTTGAAAATGATAAACATTGATTTTAAAATATTTTTTTCTTGAAATGCGGACACTTTTTACAAAATTGGCCAAAACACAAAGGATATTTATCTTATAAATTTCGCCTAAATCCGAAAGATTGTGCTAATCCATACAAAAACACGAATGTAAAACAAAAAGTAAGAAAGTATAACAGTTGCGACATTGTGCTCCCTGCATACTTCTGACACCTAACGACGACTAAACGTAATAAAGCTGTCATTATATTACTTTTCTTGGTGTTTTTGGATGATTCTGTAAAAAGTGTCCGCGTTTCGAGAAAAAAGTATTTTAAAATCAATGTTTATCATTTTCACGTTCAGTGCCGTTTTTATAGGACGATAATTAAATGCCAAAGAATTTCAGAGACCGTTCGACACTTTTAACATATTTTCGAATACATACATTAAAATAAGTTGTAATTTAATTTGTAAATTATAATTTTGTGATAGAAGGAAACATTTTAGGTAACATACTCTAAAATCGTTTCTTAATAAGAAACTGGAGAAATTATTAATCTTCTTCCAAATTCAACTTTTAATGATTCAAAGTGTTAAAAATAAAATTGCTCACACTTTTACTGAAAAAATTTTTGATTCAATTTGTTTTTTTTTATTGTTAAAAATACGAAAATGTAAAAGTTAGACTAACTTTTGATTTTACTTTTTGTCCAATTTCCAACTGAAAAAAATTACTAAAAATTTTTGTCCTTTAATCAAGAAAAAGAGAAAAGTATATTTTTTAAAAAATAAAGAAATAATAAAAAATCCATTTTTAACTAATACAAATTTGTAACAGTGAAAAAAATATTAATAGTTAACTAATAATAGTTAAAACAGAATACCAAAAATGGTTAAGATTTGTGGTTATTGGATCTAGGGGTACCAATTTTCAAGTCATATGTTAACAAAGATATTATGTGGAATTCGCCGAATTTTTTTAATGCAAGATAATTTTTTAATAATGAGGGAGGGACTATATATATATAATAAGTGATTAAGATTGATCGTAATTAATTGGGCATTGAAACTAGTTGCGTGATAATGGTCCCGATTGAAATCTATTTGATCCCATTGTGATTCGTGAGTGTCGTTTTGGTGCACCACAAAGCCAATATTGTCTAATTGCAGCAATGCATTTCAATAAAGCCTAATTGAGCCATTTCAATTGACTGACCACAATTTACAAAATATTGATTTTATCGACAGATATTTTTTTTTTCCACTACTTTACAATTTCATTATTGCGAAACTGAAACTTGATATGCTTCCCTCTCTCAGTGTACAGTCAGCGTGTTATCCATTAATTAAACGTATATAACAATTCGATTTAGAGGAATTCGATATACATCACATTTATAAACTTATAATTATAAAATTTTTTTAAAGAATGAATTCTTTCTTTTTTTATCAATATCAGAAAAAAATTATTTATATATTACAAAATTTTTTTTAACATTGAAAAAATTTTCTTTTATCCCAACAAAGATTTAAAAACAAATTGTTTTTGATTCGGAAAAATTAGTTTTCGCAAAATATTTTTTAGCTAAAAAAATTTATTAAAAGTATAATCAAAAAACTATTTTAATTAAAGAAATTTGTTTTATGTCTACTTTGAAAATTTGATGACAAATTTTTGTTATATTATTAAATGAAAATTTATCTTTTTCAACATGTAATTATTAAAAATGGTATTTTAATAAATTGTAAAATTAAAATATTATATTTCTAACCAAAGCATAATAAACTTATACTCTATAATGTAGATACTTTGCTATGCGTAATGTTTGCCCCTTGGAGGAAGCAAATCGTGTTTGTTACATGAGGAAGCTCAAAACTAATAAACTTACAATCAAAGTTATTTAATGCAGATGAAGTAACTTCAAAATTAAATTTAATTTAACAAATAAATCCTACAAATAATTTTTCAAATTATATTTTAATTTTGTCACTTTTATAGATTAATAATTGCAAATAAAATAGAATTATATTTATTTCAAAATTTGTTTAAAAAATAAAAATAAATATTAAATTACAGAATAATTTTTTAATAATTTTAAAAAATTATAAGAACGAAAAAAAGAAAAAAAATTATAATAAACATATAGAAATTAAGACAAGAAATGTGTTTTCATTCTCTCATATAATGATAATGTTAAATATGAATCATATTTAATTCTATATAAAAGAAAAAGAAAACAATAACACCAGATATAACAGTTTTTTTTTTAATTTGCTCTTTTGCAATCTTGTCTGGCCTTTAGATATATATAAAATGCCAGGGCTATAAAAGCGAACTCTCGACCTGGCGAACGGCATTTTCCGACAGGTGTCCGAGCAATATCGATTACGAGATTTCTTGAATCTGACGTCGCAACAAAAAGTAATGAAAAAAATACTAGACATTTTAGCTTCACAGAACTTCCAAACAAAAATAAATTTCTTTTTCAATTTAATAAAGAAAAAAAAAATTTATTTATTAAAAAAAAATTTTCAATTTATTTTAAACTTAATATTTTTTTTTATTATAATATTTATTTATTTCATTAAATTATATTTTTCGTTTAAAAAATATTTTTGTTTAATATTATATATATAAATTTTAAATTAAACAAAAATTTCCCCTTAATTTATTTATTTACATTCAAATATTTAAAAAATTCGAAATTAATTTCAATTTAAAAAAAAATATTGTCCTTATTATTAAAAAATATATTTCTTCACGTAATAAGAATTTGAAAAGAGAAAATGTGAAAAAAATAAATAGAAGTTTAATTAGAAAACAATTTTCGAAGTTTATAATGAAACTTCATTTTGTTGGAGGAAATTTGGCTGTTTGAGGACACATAATCGATATAACGAACTGTTGAAGGAAAGACTGGCGTGAGCAGTAGTCATATGTGTGTCTTTGTATAAGTAAATTCGCGTACCCATTCGGTTAACAACAACTTTAGTCACA